AATGATGGCAACATATGTACAAAAATGCTTGATACAATTGATTTTTATAAGAGTTGTAAGAGCCCTCCAATAAATGATCTTAAAAAAAAAAAAAAGATGTTTCCTTGGACTTCATGGGTTTTCACCCCACTTCCCATTCCTCTCCACTTGCTTCCCTTCCTCCCACCCTGCAGATCTCCTCTCAGACATCACTCCTACCACAAACCCCTCCCTCACCACCACCCACCACCGGAGATGAGGTGCCTTCTCTGTGTAGCTCACAGCACCCCACCCTGTCCTTAGGTTAACACTCTAACACACTGTGTTATAGTGATCTGATTATAGATATACACTTATGTTCATTTTATTTTTCTCCTACTAAACCAAAATCCAAACTCACTGCCATCGAGTTGATTCCAACTTACAGCGACTTTATAGGACAGGTTAGAACGGTCCCTGTGGGGGTCTTCAGACTCTAACTCTTGACAGTGTAGAAAGCCTCATCTTTTTCCCATGAAGCAGCTGGTGGTGTTGAATGGCTGACCTTGTGGTTCAGCAGCCCACACAGAGCCCACTATACCACTTTAGGGAAATTATAGTGAAGGAGTAGGCATAGTCTCTACCCTTGTGAAGAGCTCTGGTGGCCTTGTGGGTTGTGTATTGTGCTGCTAACTACAAGGTCAGCTGTTTGACACCACCAGCTGCTCCATCAGGGAAAGATGAGGCTTTCTACTCCTGTGAAGAGTTTCCGTTTTGGAAACTCATGAGGGCCGTTCTCCCCTGTCCTGTAGCGTCTGTACCAGTTGGGAGAAGGTTGCTTGACTCCAAGGTAGTGGGTTGGGCTTGGCTTTTGGCACTGAGGGCCTCGAAAGACAACAAAGGGGCTTTTCCTTCCTTACTTAATTTTTTTTTTCTGAGACTCTAGGGTAGGAAAGGAGATGGGTTAGTGTCTAACTCTCCAGTTTAGGGCTTTAGAGTATTACCCATTTAGAAGCTGATTTGGGAAAGTTGGGGTTCAGGGAAAGAGATTTGCCTGACCTGACCTCCAAGGATTTATTAATTATTTGCTGATCACTGAGGACACACTTTGTTAGGACATGTATAGGGTATGAAGGCTCACTGCACACAATGCTTTTCAAATGGTTGAGTACTGACTTGTTAGAAGTCAACTTTCTCCCAAGGGGAAAGCTGCGGCGTTCTCTTTCCATCGAGAGGGACAGTCTCAGAAACCCACAGGCAGCTCGACCCTGTCCAATAGGGTCGCTGTCAGTCAGCATCAACTCGAGGGTGCTGAATTTGGTTTTGGTTTGTTGGTAGAATGTGAAATTACAGTTATAATTAAAAAACAAAAACACAGAAGCAATTTGTTTTAGTTATAAATGTGTGTGGCTGGGTCTTGATTTAAAATATAATATTTACTGTGATGAGGATCTTTAAAAAGAACCTTTGCAAGGCCCTTTGTGCTTAAGTGCTTAGCATTTATGTTATACAATGAGAGTTGAATGAGTGAATGTCTAGCGATATGCCTGCCTTCAAGAAATTATATTAGAATATTCGAGGAAAAGGTAAATATAGGAAATATAGGAAAATATAAGAAAAGGTAAATATCATAGGCTTTACAATACTAATTTTAAGCCCAAACCAAATCAATAATGTGAACGCATTGAAGGGGTTGGGGACAGAAAAGAACTCCAAAAACATACAGTGTTGAAATATCTGACTTGGGGGATTTTAGTCATCACAGGTGAGTGAGCCCACTGACCTGGGAACTGGGAGCCGGGACACCTGATTTAGTTCCGTTAATGAATGGTGAGACTTTGAGCAAATCCCTGAATCTCTGAATCACTTAGTCTCAAATCAATTGTCTAATTTGTAAAATTGGACTGCTCCAAGAGCCCCTCCTGGCACACTGGAAGACCAGATGAGACCCTACATTTTAAGGGTGCTCTGCAAACTGCAATACAACGCTGAAGATAAAGGAAGGAATGGCTGACTGGGCTGAAGGGAGCACCGTCATCATTGTAGTGGTTCCTTAGCCAAGTAATAAATATCTGTCAAGCTAATAAGATCTGTGTCAGAAGAAGTCAGGCCAGAGTGCTCCATGGAGGCAAGGATGGCAAGACTCTGTCTTATGTGCTCGGACATATTGTCAGGAGAAGGGCATCGTGTTCGATAAAGTGGAGGGGTGACAGAAAAGAGGAGTTGCCTCAGTGAGATGGATGGACACAGTGGCTGCCTCAATGGGCTCAAGCAGGGAACAACTGTGAGGACGGGGCAGCACCGGGCAGTGCTGCCTTCTGTGCTGCATGGGGTCATGATGAGTCGGCTGACTTGACGGTTGAGGGCTTTTCGTCACAATGGCACACTCTGGTGGTGTAGCAGGTTACATATTGACCTGTTAACCACGAAGTCTGGGGTTTAAATCCATCCACTGCTCCACAGGAGAAAGATGAGGCTGTCTGCTCTTGGCAAGATTTAGTCTCTGAAAACCCAAAGGACAGCCCTATTCTATGAGTTGGTATCGATTCATCGGCAGTGATTATGATTATTTTTTTACAAAGCTCTCCCTTCTAGATGCTTTTCCAACTATTGTTGCTATATTCTGTAGAATGTTAACTCCCTAAGAAAGTAGTCTTGGCATCGACGAAACATACAACTCTCCTCTAGTTCTTTAATGCTCCCTCCACCCCACTGTCATGACCACAATTCTACCTTATAAATCTGGCTAGAGCAGAGCATGTACACTGGTACAGATACGAGCTTGCAACCCAGGAAATCCAGGACAAATCAACCCCTCAGGGCCAATAATGAGAGTCATGATACCAGGAGGGTAAGGGGAATGTGGAGGAGAAAGGGGGAATTGATCACAATGATCTACATATAACCCCCTCCCTGGAGGATAGACAACAGAAAAGTGGGTGAAGGGAGACAGCGGTCAATGTAAGATATAAAAAAAACCAAACAAATTATCAAGGGTTCATGAGAGAGGGAAGGTGGGAGAGGGAGGGGAAAAATGAGCTGATACCAAGGGCTCAAGTAGAAAGAAAATGTTCTGAAAATGATGATGGCAACAAATGTGCAAATGTGCTCGACACAATAGATGTAAATAAATATGGCTTGTGAGAAGAGCGGTAAGAGTCCCCAATAAAATGATTACCAAAAAAAGAATAGTAATAAAAGAAAGTCGTCTTGGGCTATCTAGTTTCGCTCCACCTCAGCATTGACCCAGAGGCAGCAGGCCCTTGACGGATACTTTTGAGTGAAGCAAGCCAGGAAGGCAAAGACTTAGGCGTCAGCCAGTTTTGGAAGGAACCCTGGTGGCGGAGTCGTTAAGCACGTGGTTGCTGAGTGCAGGGAAGAAAGCTGCCGGCAGTCTGCTCCTGTAAAGGTTCTGTGGCCTTGGAACCTCGTGGGGACATAGGGTTGGGGCACTTGGGATGGACTTGATGGCACAACACAGTGGCCTCTCACTTATCGAGCCTCCGTTTTAACTAAAGGGATGAGCTCAAGTTCTGCGTGGAGTCTGCGGACCGGAAAAAGCGAGGGAAGGTGTACAGCCCCAACAGTACCTTGTGCAAGGGGGAGTTTGAGAATCCCCAGCTGTTGCCCTAAAAAGTTTCCCCAAGTGGGTGTTACTGGCCACTGGAGGGCTCAGGAATGATGGGGGTTAGGCGTGGGGGCTGCAAAAGCAGATACCTACACTTTACCCTGGATTAGGGACTGGATCATAAAAGTTTTTAATTGCCAGAGGGGTGCTGAGTAATTTCCCCCCCTGAAAATTGGGAGTAGGTTTGGGAACCTATGCCAACAGTTGCCCTGAAGGGAAGGGAAGTTAAAGGTAAAACAATCTGTGGAGAAAACCCCTACAGAGGTAACAGGTGCCCAAGGAAGGGCTGAGACACAGGCACTCGCGGGCACCGGTGGTGGTGGAGGGCACCCTTCGTTTTGTGGGCAAAGTGACAGCACAGAAGTAACTGCGGGTGGAATAGACACAAGGTTGCTCAGAGGTTCGAGTCTAATTCAGGAAGGAATAACGTGAGCTGGAGCCGAGAGCACGTCTTCATGGAGTTGACAACGTTTGGCTTGGAAGAGAAAGGTTTGAGCAAGATAGTTTACACAGAGAAATCTGTACAAATCTTTGGCCTTCCTGGAAAAACTGCCAAGGTGAGATAACCTTGAGCTGGATGTGTGTAGGTGACAAAAGGTTGCAGGGACTGGTCGACTGGCTCTGCCTCCCAGCGCCGGGGAGAAAACGTGCAGCTTCCAGACAATACCTGGGCTCGGTTTTTCCGCCCCGGAAGGACGGTGGAGGACGGAGGGCGAGAGAGGGCGGGGCCAGCAAAGTGGGCGGGACCACGCGGGCCCGGCTGATAGCGACTGGAGGCCAAGTGAAGGGGCGGGGTTTCCGGCTCTAGCGGCGCTCCGGCGTCGGGTGACGCACGGCGGACGAGTCGTCACGTGACACGGAAGTGACTCCGAACAGGAAGAGGACGAAAAAAATAACCGTCCGCGACGCCGAGCCGAACCAGACCCGCAGGCACCATGAACAGCAAAGGTAAAGCTAGGGGACGACTCCGGCCGTCGGGGGGAGTAGTGCTGACCCGGAACGAGCGGGCTCCGAGCTCAAGATCACCGAGCGCCGGGGCTGGGGCGCGCTGCGTTGCGCCCCTCTGCCGGCTGCAGCCCGGGGCTGCGCCCGATGCCTTCGTCATTCCCTAACCGCGGCTGCTCGCTCCCTCCTTCCCGACCCTTCCTCCCTTAAACTCTGTGGCGCAGTTTGGAGCTGCGGGCTGGGGATGGGTGGGGGGGGGGCGGTAGAGGAAGGCATGTTATGATGTGCATCTACAGGAGCAAATGGGGAGCCGGAGCAAGGATTTGGGTAAGCCAATGGAGAAGCGGCGGGGGCGGGACGGCGCGCCACACTCCGGAACTACCGGCAGCCTCCCGGGTTTAACTAATGAGGTGCTGGTGTTGGTGGCCTTGGCCGGCGCCTGCGAGGCTGCCTTTCCTCCGATCTTCACACCACATCGCCCTTCGCAGTTCGGGCCAGAACTCTCCCTGTAACCCGCCCCCCCGATCGTACTAGTTTGTCAGAACAAAACCTCCCAGCCGCCTTACCCCAAACTTTCCCCATCCTACGTCTCGGAACCATCACTTTTAGCCCTCCATCCTTTCCCCGGTTTTGCCATTGACTTTCCAGCGTCCACTGTGTATTTGTGAGACGACCTTGACCAGAAAGCTGTGAGGTGAACCGTCATAACCTTACACCCAGCCTTGTAGAGACTACCCAGGGTGCACCCTCGAATGATAGCCTCAATCCTAGGGATCGATGCCTAGATCCTGGAGCATAGTGCGATTCTTGGCCAATTGGAATCCAGCCCTTTGGGGTCTAAGTATGCAGAGAGAGCGTGCATTTTCTTGGCGTCGCCGCAGCCTGCACCCCTCCTCCCCACCCAATCAGCCCCTCCAGCGGTCTGCCCGCAAATCCCTCCTCCTCTCTCCAACATGCCCTGCTCCATTTTGGTAGCTCTGCAGGGGAGGCAACACACTTTTCTTTTGGTTTGTTTTTGTGTCTTCCAGGTCAATATCCAACGCAGCCGACCTACCCAGTGCAGCCTCCCGGGAATCCAGTGTACCCTCAGACCTTGCATCTTCCTCAGGCTCCACCCTATACCGATGCTCCACCTGCCTACTCAGAGGTGTTTCCATTTGACTAGAGCTAGTTGGGAATGTTTGGTGGCCAGTTTTCAGTTCTCTGTGAAGTCTGATCCTGTATTTTGCTCTTCACAAACCCAAGAACGCTGCAGTTCCTGTTGGGTTTGGGAAGGCAGGAGCTTATTATTTGTCTCTTGGCACAGGCTGAGGTTAAGATGAGTTTGCGTTCTTAGAGCCTAGCATAAGAGCCCACAGGAAGTAGAACTGGGAAACACCAAGGGGCCCTGGGATTGTAACCCATACCAGGATTGACTCACTAGCAAGATTTGAAGTAGGCATGGCATAGAGTAACACCTTCTGCTCTCCTGTTTCTCTCCAGCTCTATCGTCCGAGCTTTGTGCACCCAGGGGCTGCTACAGTCCCCACCATGTCAGCGGCATATCCTGGCACCTCCCTGTATCTTCCCATGGCCCAGTCTGTGGCTGTGGGGCCTTTAGGTTCCACTATCCCCATGGCTTACTACCCAGTTGGGCCCATCTACCCACCTGGTTCGACAGTGCTGGTGGAAGGAGGGTATGATGCAGGTGCCAGATTTGGAGCCGGGGCCACAGCTGGCAGCATCCCTGTGAGTATCCCTTTATCAGGGAAAAATGCAGCCCCTTCTGTGTATTTCAATTTTCAGGAATAGCTGTATTCACACTCTCACCATCCCCAGATAAGAGCGCTCAGTCTTGGTACAACTACTAACCTCAGGTAGTCTGGGCAAAAGCAGTTGAGGGCAAAAGGGTGGCAGGCCAGTACTATCTGGAACATTCTCAGTTGACCAGAGTTTTTGTTGTCCTCCCTCATGAGCAAACTGGTCTAGCGAACACTTCATTCTGTAAGCATCGGCATCTGGGAGCCCTGGTTTAAACAGCACAATACAAAGTCCCTCTTAGGTAGCTTTGAGAAAGAGCAGATAATTGGCCATATTTGTTTTGCAGCACTAGGGAGTTTTGTTCTTAAGCCTTCTACCTCAGTTCCCTGTGGGGTTTAAAGCTTGAAGGGTGGTCCTGGTTAGGATCCTCTACTATGCTAGAGATTAGAATGGTGCCCCCAGGATTCTGTGGGAAAATGTCCAAGGACCCCGTGAAGAGAGTCACCAACTTGGTACCCTATCCTTGCTTTAGTAATGTGGGTGGGAGTGGCTTCCTAACCTGAAGATAGCTGACTGTAGGCCTACTACCCATGTGTATTAGAAGGTATCCGTAGGCATCTCTGAATCTTCCTGAGGGGGCTTCAAGTTCATGGAAAAATGGAATTTAAAGCCAATGTAACTTTGCCACACATTTCAAGCCCCCCTGGGATGGACCTGATGAAAAACCCCAATTGGGGGCAGAACTAGCTCCTCAAAATGCTGTTGAACTGCATCTTACTGCCCTCTTCTCAGGCCCTCTGGTTGACCTGTGCCCTCTGATTCTTGTCCTTTCCTTTCAGCCTCCTCCCCCTGGATGCCCTCCGAATGCCGCTCAGCTGGCAGTCATGCAAGGAGCCAATGTCCTTGTAACTCAGCGGAAGGGGAACTTCTTCATGGGGGGCTCAGATGGTGGCTACACCATCTGGTGAGGAGCCAGGGCCGCGTCTGTGCCGGGGAAGACATCACATACCGTCAGCACTTCTCACAATGTAACTGCTTTAGTCATATTAACCTGAAGTTGCAGTTTAGACACATGTTGTTGGGGTGTCTTTCTGGTGCCCAAACTTTCAGGCACTTTTCAAACTTAATAAGGAACCATGTAATGGTAGCAGTACCTCCCAAAAGCATTTTGAGGCCGGGGAGGTCTCCATTCATCAAATGAATGTGGGTGAAAGAACCCTACGGAGACTCCTTGGCTTCCTCCGGAGTCCTACTGTACTATACTATACTGGTCTTTGCTTTTAGTCATGAAACATCCAAATTAGGTTTGGAGGGGAACTTTGATCTTCCTAAGAATTAAAGTTGCCAAATTACTTTGATTGGTCTTTAATCTCCTTCAAGTCTTTGATTTATATTACTTGCTATAAATGAAACGCATTAGTTGTCTACCTTTTCCTTTCTACCCCCGGTCTCCTGCCCCTGCTGCCAATCTCCATCGAATCAATGGTGCAGGACAGAAAGCCTCTCCTCGCCCTTCTCCCTACTTGTCATCTTTGAAATAGTCATTCACCAGGATCCTCTGAAACCCCCTCTGCTCCAAGCACGGACCCCATTAACTTCTGCTTTCCATTCTCAGGCGAGACTGGAGAGTGTCATGCAGATCATTTTTTAAGGGGGCGTGGGGTGCTTCTCATAGGCTGCCTCTGCATGAGAGAACCGAACCCCAATGTGCTGTGGTGCCAGAAAGCCAGTGAGGCTGTGTTTGAACCAAGGCTAGCGATGCTGACCAGACTGTAGCCAAGTCGGCTTCGATGGGAATGAGCGGGGAAGAGAAGGGTGCCCAGTGATGTGGAGCCAAACTAAGGGGAGTTTTGAGGTCCAAAACACCAGTTCCCATTTATTGTCAAGAATACCCGATACAGCCACTCCTGGCTCCCCAAAGTCCCTCCGCTGGGTTAATGGGGTCACATTATGAATGCCTCACTATGTCCAGTCTCATTAGGGTGAAGAATATTTCAGGGATCCTTAATTTTTTTTCTTTCTGAAATTGGATCTTATCATTTCAGTTCATCAAAATTTGTGTTCTGTACATGTGATGTTCGACTGTACCATTGACTGTTATGGAAGTTCAGCGTTGTATGTCTCTCTACACTGTGGTGCACTTAACTTGTGGATTTTTTTATACTAAAAATGTAGAATAAAGACTATTTTGAAGATTTGAATAAAGTGATGAAGTTGCATTACACCGCACTCCAAGGACACTTTCCTCCCGTGCTGCTCCCGGCGCTGCTCCCGGTGGCTCCTCCCCGAGGACCATTCCGATGGGTCCTGCTTTTTCCCCCCTGGGTTCTTCCGCCTGGGAAGTAAAGGCTGTGGTGGGAGTGCAGGGTCTGACCATTTTCAGGAGTTCCACTCTAGGTGTTTAACTGTTCTCCACTCTCCTCCTCAAAGCGCTTTCGTATTCTTCAAAACCCCATTGTGCTATGGAATTCAGAACCTAAACCTAGAAATTGGGAATGATCATGGCTCAGGGGAGGCTAAACGAACTCGGCTCTCAAGACCGTGTTTGTCCCAACTCCCCCCGTTCTGAGTATTCTGGAAACTTCCTTAGGGTTCTTCCTGCTCGGGCAGGTATCTCTTCAAAGGTGATGTCGAAGAGTTGAAGTGGGCTACGATGAGAAATAAAAGTGCTTATTTCATGTATGAGAATCTGATTTCTGTCTCAACGAAAACATTTAATCTGGATAAAAACCGTACAAGTTAGAGGGTGGCTGGGGAATGTGGGAAGGTAGGGCTCCCCGTGGCCCCGTTCATCAGGTCAAGTCTCCATCATGGTTGGCCCCTCCTGACAGTCTCGCCTTGGCCTGTTTTCCAGCCTCTGGGAAGATGGGAAGAACTGGGCACCAGATCTAGTTGGGGCTATCTCTAGGGGACCAGGAAAGGGACACAGTAGAGCAGCTACTAACTCTTAGGTCACTCTCCCCAACCTGAGAACAAAATGCAGACAGTGGGGCACAAACTCAGTGTTACCAGGTCCAAGCACACGCCTCACCCTAGCTAGTCTGTCAGTCAGACACCAGCTGTATTATGAAGCCAGGCTAAAGACAAGCTGCTTTCTCCATGTCCCTGGTGCCGATGCCGCTGACATTTGGGCCGGTGTTCTGGCGGGAACTTTGAGCTGCCCACATCCAGCAATGCTGCTTACTGGCATCAGAGGAACCGCTCACCTAATCAACAGTCAAGCTCCCTGGGCCACCAGCAGGCGTTAGATGAAATATTCCTCCTTCTCCTTGCCCTTGACGGGCTCGCTTTCCATCTGGAGGGTGGCACTGGGCTCGCCACCTGCAGGCTCGTAGGTGACGTAGCTGCCTTTGTTCTTGTACAGGTAAAAGAAGATCAGGACCACCACCGAGAGCAGGGTGAGGAAGACCACAGTGATGACCACTTGGGAAGGAGAGGGGAAAGGAGAGGATCAGGATTGAGGCAGTCTCAGTCATTCCCTGGGCCACCCCCATTCCTCCCCCTTTTCCACGAGAAGCCGCCTGTTGTAAAGAACCTGGTGTCCACTTCCACAGCCATGCTCCCTCCCAAAGCCCAGCTTCCACGGGACAGGGTATCTGGTCCCTTGGGGCTGACGCAAAGGCCAAGGACTTTGATTTCTGGTATAACAGAACTCCCTCCCAACCAGCTCCTGATAATTATGAAAGAAACGGAGGAGGGGGATCGGAAATGGCTTATCCCAACTGCCTGTAAGCGTTTCTCTGCTCCCTCCCTCTTCCTCACCCACTGCAACAGGCCACACAGATCATTCATCCCTTCCCCTGTCTCCTCGAGTGTAGCAACCATATGTATCCAGCTCTATTTGTGGTCACCGCCTAACCTATCATTTACCGCCAGGCCCTTTCAAGGTCTCTATAACCCTGTCTGTCTAAGATAGTCCGCATGCCAAAACAAGCCCATTGATGGATTCGGTCCCTAATGTGCTGTTCTGGTCTGGAGGGAACCCTAGCTCATCACACTGGGTTTCCAGTCGTCTCTGGAGCGAGAGGATTATCCCGCCTCCCCTGTCCCTAAAGGTCCCTGGGATTTTGGGTTGAGATGCTGTTACCTGCAATGAGTGCTGTGCTGGCCTCAGCTTCTGGGGACAAGGCTTCAGTGGCCCGCAGGATCGGGGTGGTTAGCAGGTCCGCCCCTGGGAAGTTCAGAGAAGTGGAAAAGGTTGAGGGGGTTCAATTCTTCTATGCAGATGCTCACTCTTCACGTCCTTCCCTGTTTAAAAGTTTACCCTTGCACTCTGCCCTGGACTGAATGGTCACTCGCACTCCCCCAGCCCGGAAGTACATAAAACGCATGTCCAGTTGGCTGGGCCATGATCCTCAGTGGTTTGGCAGGTGGTATGGATGTAATGCCGTCATTTAGCCAATGAACAATGACATTATCATCATTCACGAGGTGCTCTGATGCGATCAGCCAAATCAGGTGCTAGGGGGAGCTGCTGCACCCTGACTGAGATCATAGCCCCAAGCTGAGGTAAGGGGTGTGGCCGGCATCACTTTTTACCTTAAGAGACAAGAAAGAAGAGAGAAGGAGGGATGGGACCATCAAAAAAGAAAGAGTCCGGAATGGGATGCGTTCTTTGGGACTAAGGTCCCTGCACTAAGAACCCCTTAGCCTCTGGGGAAGACAGATGCTGAAGGTAGTTGCCTTAGGGAAGTGGGGTCTGCAGAGATTGAAAGGAGATGGGACCTTCCCGCAGAGCTTGAGACACACAGGGAGACAAAGTGCCTTCTCTTACAGCTCAGCCGTCTAGCCTCCCGAGTGGTGGCAGAATACATTCCTTGTTTGCTGAAGTCACCACTTGCGGTGTTTCTATGATAAGAGCACTAGATAAACATGGATAATAGAGGAGAAAATTAACCAGCACCCAAAGACAACGGACACGTTGTTGGATTTCTCTAACAAATTAGTTGCAAGCCTGGGCTCTAGTGTTGTGCCCTTTGCTAACGCTGTGACCTTGGAACGTGACCTAACCCTTCAAGGCATCCTTTTCTCAGAAAACTGGCAGTAACCTACTTCACAGAGTGGTCAAGGCAGCTAAGTAACTCATTAAGAGGTAGATATGCATCATTTTACATAAATGAGATAGAATGATGAACATAGATACTATACAATGTTTGACTTAATATTTTATGGCAG